TAGCTATTAGTTTTCATCGTTTTATACGTGACGCTTCTTTCTGTAAATGCTAAGGATCGTATCGTAAGTACTAAATAACTAATGACGAGTATATTCGGTGCATCTGACGAACTTGTCTAGAATGTTCTGTTTTGACCGATTACGGAGTCATTGTTATCGAGTTACGAAGAAATTAGTCAAAAAGGCGTTTTTTTTTCGAGACGATGATCCAGAATTTCTTCACCATATTCGATGCTGATTGTTAGAACATATATTCTTCCTAGTACATTCCAGTATACTCTTATTTATACACTCTTGTTGCACTTGCTAGATGGCTGGCTACTATGCCTTTTACTGTATGTCTCCCACGAGCAACAGCACTGCAAACCGGAATTTGTCTAGATTCCAATTTTGCCTACAACATATATATATGAAATATCTACTGAGGAAGACAAGAAAATGAAAATCTCAGGAAAAACGTAACGCTATAATTCTTCCTGATGATCTTAAGGGTACCGCCGCCCCTCTTTTTTTACCCTCTTGGAAATCGGGGAAGCCGATGTTGGATCGAGGCGAAATTTATATCACAGATAGAACATCGAAAAAGAAAATCGATGTATTTTTGCCCAGAATTTTCTGACGTGTTCTTCTATGGGTTTTCTAGAAAAATCCGATTTTCATCCAGTGACATTACGATCCCTGAAAAAAATGATCACGAACCTAAAAATTGCGATTTTCTAGGCTTTGAAGGAAAAAATTAAAAACCTCATAATTTTTTCAAGGAAGGTCATCGAGAGCTGGGAGTGGTATCATTTTATAGCCCAGACTTTCCTCTACATTAGACTATGTTCAACTCAAATCACAACTTTTCTGAAAAAAAGAGGGAGGAAACTGGCTTCACTCAGAATCACAGTATATGGACAGTTTATTTTCATAAAGAATTCTTTCTCATGAAAAATTTAAGATTTTTCTCACATATGTCCTTTTGATAGTACTATTTAATTGAATGTCTGGTGAACTTTCCTATAGCTTCTCTCACTTTATAGAGATAGAAAGACGTGACTGTGCTCGTTGTGTAAGCTTCTAATTCTGAAAGTTCTGAAAATGCTAAACTCTATAGGATCTTAGCATCAAAACACGTACCTGACATAAAGGAGTGTTTATTTTGTAGCAGTACATTTGAATTTCGAGATTCTTCCATTATTCGAATACGTTACCTTTCAGTGTAATTTTCCCCTAACTCTAAGTTCTCATTTAACTTAACTCAATTAACTCTGAGTAATCCCCAAAACCTTTGGCTTATGGAGAATAAGGTTGCATATACTTTTATAAGAACGTAACAACCAGATTCTTAAAGGACTTTTGATTCTGTATATGATAAGTATAGTCATATCTTCTCTACTCGAAGCTCTGTATAAATTGAAGAACGGGTGCAGAAGCACCTTACTATAGGTACTCTTAGAAAACGCAATGATGCAGCGACAGGGATAATTTTTGCCAAAAGTCGATAATAATCTCGACTTCGCACTGATGTCTAAATGACATACTCTTCATGAGATTTTCATGGACTTCTTTTCTTTTGAGATAGGTGCCGTTAATCAATTATATAAATATACCCAATTCATGGCACCTCCTAAAGCAGATGACGCACCATTCGTCGGATGAAAGATGTGGAAAAAGAAATAAGCCTGAGAAGACAAAAAGAAATATTTTTGATTGCTAGGATTAACACAGTTTGAAAACAGCACTTAGAAGTAAATGTTGAACTTTCTGACTCTTGCTGAGGTTCTACATACTATTTTCATTAGTTCAAATTTTAACTCTGTTTGACGTATTAGAAAGTGTATTTGTAACCGAAACCGCAGTGACGACAGGCAATAGTACTTTTCTTTGGCGAGTTCACATGTATTTCGAGTGAGATTTTGGTGCAGCAGGTACGAATACACTCTGTTTTTCTGGCAATGATGTACATATATATTGTTTTCTTCGTAAAGTGTAAAGCAACTAGTACATTCATCTAAAAGTATTGGTTCCTTAAGCTTCTTTTTCTTTAGAACAAGCTGTAGCATGAACGCTTGACAAAGAGAATGTGCCTCAAGTCGAAGAAGAAATGAGCGATCCCGGTAGGTGTAGTCTGTTTTAATAAAGAGTACGTTCTCTTGACTCACAAATTTTCGTTTTTTTCGCCTCTCCGGCAATTTTTTCATTCATCGTTTGAGAAATTGTAACTGTTTGTATTACAATATTATTATGTAAGTTAGGGTGTTCATGAAGTGGTACTGTAATATTTGTTAAGTTAATAATCAGACACTAACGAAGCCTGTTGAACATTTCAAACGAATCCACAATTCGGACAAGAGAGTTAACATTATGTGTGGCAGTTGTAATGCTGATTTTTGCTTTATCAGACGTTTTGAACGTCAAGTGCACAAATTCCGTATCCAAAAACGACGGTGCTAAGAAAGACAAACACTACATAACAACTAGAACAATGAAATCCAACTCAGACAAAAATTATACATGAGTTCTACTTCCGTGTTTAGTTAATTTTTCTTTTTTTATTTCTATTTTCTTATACATTTATCGAATAATAAATAATATTTTCTATTATTCTTTTTTGAATTTTTCAGTTTTGCGTTGGGTCTTTAGTAAGTTAAAAGGCTTTACCTTAAAGATAAATATCTGTAACTTTTGGCTTCTAAAACAGCAATATACTAAGTATTACAAGTTTTCATTTATTCTCTTTTCCTTAGAAAAATTTTCCGATGTAAAATCTCTTGGCAGTACCCTACAAAAAAATATTTTATCGGTACTGGTTGTGCACGGGTGCGCACCGGTGCCGAATAATTTTTTTTCTGGGCACCGATGCGCATCGGTGCCAGAAAGAATGTAATAATCTCGCACCGGTGCGTACCAATGCCAAAGTTTTGTTTTCAATCACCATTTTGTTTTGTCAATTTCTGTCTATATTAATGCTACAGTCTACTTCTAATATTTGGGATGTCTTTCTGACTTCATCTTTTCCTTCTTATAAGAGAAGTGCCGAGGCAATGTCGCATGGTTTTGGTATGTCAATGTGGTACAGATCAATGCCGCGCTCTAATACAAAATTCAGCATAAACAACCATATTAAGAACTGATCAAATAAATTATCAGTGCGGTACGCTTTCGGCAGAAATATATCGGCACGGGTGCGCACCGGTGCCAGTCAGTGCCAGTGACCGATGGCATGCCATGCGCACTGGAATTTTTTTGACAGGGTATATATACACTGTAAACAATTTTCAATATTTCAAATGTAAAAAAGTCATGAATGATGCGTGATATGCCACGCTTCATTCATGACTTTTTTTACATTTGAAGTGTTGAAAATTGTTTACAGTGTGTGCACTTTGTGATTAAAAATAATGATGCAGTGTAAATTTGTGAAAGCCTCAAAATACTTTCTTGTGACGAGCCTAAACTGAAATCTCATCGAAACCATGAATATTGGTTCATTCGTAATATAATCAGAAGAACTCATTCAAGTTTTAATGCTCTAATGATAATCCATGTACATACTCAGTGTTGTTAATGAAAGTTTTTTCAGAATGGAATTTCCCAGTTTGCTTTGAATATCAAACTGGGTTTTCCTAGTTTGTTCTCAAACACGAAATAAGTAAAGTCGGAACAGAATTCTTTAGGAAGTCTTTTTTTAGTCTCACAGCCGCAGTTTTCGCACTTTCATTTCCATAAATGCAATCAACTTCGTTGGAGTTCACTGCTGTCATTCTCGATTTCATTTTTTCGCACCTGAGAGTGTTGACAGCAGGAAGGCAATGAATGCGCAAAAAATGTATCTAACCCAATTTGCTGCGTCTTTTACTGCCAGCCATCTAAAAGTAAAGGCTTGCTAAAAGAGTGTGTGTAACACAAGTAGTCTTAGCATAAAATATACAGATTTTTTTAATCAGAAATAGGCGCATTTCAATAATGTTTTTTTCTTATTCTTCATGTCATGTTAGTTTTTGAACACCAGCGACCTAAGTGTAAACACTCAAAGCAATACGACAAGAACAAATTTTATTAGTTTTCTCCCACATGTATGTATTCATAGACTGATGAGTCATTTTTTGTTATTTTCTTTTTAAGAAGAATAAAACAGAGTGGGAATTCTTTCAAAGTGAGTTTTTACCCAAAACACATTGTGCTTGTCATCAGGGAAGTGCAGATAAAGCTAAGAGACTAGGTTTCACGGCGTTTCGCTCCGAATAAAGATTAGCCAAGTTTGACTGATCAATTGTTCGCCAAAACTCAAATTTGAAGTTGGACTACAGCACATACATCATACATTGATCGTTTAACCACCGTTTTGTTCATGTTTACTTGATACTTTAGTCTCATCTGCTTTCCGTAGTTCTTTTCATTCAAAATTTCTTGCATCAATCAGAAATAAACAGATGTTAAATCTCTGTTGGTTTTGTGTTTATAACTTCTTAACACAGAGGATAAATAAATCACTCGAGTTCAAGAAAATTATATAAAAATGAGTAAGTGTTTGCACAAGTGTAACAACATCTTTGCGAAGGGTTACGGGCAATTTTTCCATGAGAAATTCACCGCCTGTTACATCGGTTACTGACGCATGAAGTTACACACTTTTGTGAACATGACTGCCGTAATATATTCAGATTAGTCTTGTCAACACTAAAAAGGTGTAAAAATTCACATTACAATTCCTGTCGAAACTATTGTTTTGCGTTTTATTTCTTTGGCTCAACTTTACTCAATACCAAAATGACATCAACGTGTTTCGAACTGTTTACACACATAAGCCATCACATAGATATTCCAATGTTTACTAACAGCTGATGATTTCATCAAGATAAAAATTTTTTAATTTTTTAATTTGAAATTTCTGACGCAAAATGATAAAAATATATATTATTGCATCATCTAACTTTTTTTACTGACTCATAATTATTTGAGTATATCTTATTTTTTCTGATTTTATTTTTTGAGATATATAGTTATCGTTTAAAATGGAGAACATTGTACAACATTTAACACAGCTGGTAAGAAAAAAATCATGTAAGAATTTAATTATACGAATATGTGAAACTATTGTCATTTTGTTGATTTAGGAAGAACATGTCAAACACTTAGAAAGTCAATTATTTGATCGACCAGAATTTCAAAATAATACTCGACTAGATCAATTACGAACGGAAAATGACAAACTAAATTTTCGTGCTAATATCCTCGTTCGAGTAGGTCGCAACAAACAGCTTTGTAAATAATTCATTTATAAATTCTTTCTATTTTTCTTAGAGAATTGAAGACTTAAAAAGTAAACAACCAACAAAATCGGCTGTTCACAACAGTGGTGTAAATAAGCCATCTAAAAGTAACAATCCACACTTTATAATGAATGGCGAACTGAAAGAAGATGACGCATATTCCGTATGCGTACAAAATTCGGTGCAACATTTATTGGATCAAGCAATAAAATTAGCCTATCCAAATAATCAGAATTTACCAGTGATCATAACACCAGGAAAAACATCCGATTATCAATGTAATAGTGCCATGCCAATTGCACAGGTATGTGAAAAACGGTGGATATATGAACTCAAAATCAAATTCAACTGTGATCTTTGTACTTCCTTCAACTTCATCTAAACATTTTTTCTCGGGTTTAGAAATTAGGTCAGGAAAACGCTGAAAGCCCACAAAATCCTAAACAGATTGCACAAACCATCGTTCAGCACATACCAAAACATCCAATTATTGATAGTGTAAGTTTCTTAAATAAAAAAAACTGACCACTGTGATCCTGAATTTTCTTTTTCTATTATCGTTAAGGTTGATATTTCTGGTCCTGGTTTCATCAACATACATATTGCACCAACATTTGTTTCAAAGCAAATTCGAAAAATTCTGTTAAACGGTGCTTTACCACCGAATATCAATAGTAAAAACAAAAAAGTTGTTATCGACTTTTCTTCACCAAATATTGCCAAAGAAATGCATGTTGGTCATTTACGGTAAATAATTTATTTATTAATAAATTAGTTAACTTGTCAGAAAAAGCTGATTAGAACGAAAAACGATTTTCGAGTTTTATGATTGTATTCATTTGTTTCTCATTTAGATCGACAATTATCGGTGACAGTATAGCACGTTTATTGGAATACCTCGGCTATAACGTGTTACGATTGAATCATCTTGGCGATTGGGGAACGCAATTTGGTATGTTAATTGCACATCTTCAAGACAAATTTCCGGAATATCTTCACAATTCACCACCAATTCACGATTTATTGACATTTTATAAGGTAAGAAGAGCAATATCTCATTCTCGAAAAAACATCGTCTTCTTCGCTTCATTTTAGACATCTAAAAAACGTTTTGATGATGAACCTGATTTTCAAAAACGAGCATATCAAAATGTTGTTAAATTACAATCTTATGATCCCGATATTATACATGCATGGCAACTTATTTGTGAAGTTTCAAGACGAGGTATGTTTTGCATTTAGTCACTCAACTAATTTTAAACATATATTTATGGTCTTTGTAGATTTCGAATATATCTATCGTGAATTAGATATTAGGATAATTGATCGTGGTGAATCATTTTATCAACCAATGATGGAAATCGTTGTCGACGAACTTGAACAAAAACGTATATTAAATGTTTATGTGTGCGGATTTGCAGGAATGCTTTAAAAATGATTATTAACATTTCAGAATTATTGAAAGAAGAAGAAGGACGAAAAGTGTGGTTTTTACCTGGTATCACGGTGCCAATGACAATTGTTAAATCTGATGGAGGTTTTACGTATGATACAAGCGATATGGCGTGTATTAAACAACGTTTACTTGACGAAAAGGCTGACTGGATTATATACGTTATTGATTCCGGACAGGTAATACTCCTTATTTCTTTTTGTGAAGAAGATAAAATTTCAGAAGCTGTTTTAGCAGTTATCTAAGTTTTTAATAACAATGTGGTCATTTTTATAACATTCATCAATTAACTTCTATGAAAATATAATTCAAAAGTAGAAATAAGGATTTTCTATTCAGCTTTTGTCTCTAAATAGAGCGTTGTGTAAACGATCTGAAAGTCTTAAATTAAATAAAAATGAAAATTTTCTTTAATAATCATGGAAATGATTTTTAGTCTCTTCATATGCAATCGGTCTTTGCTGGTGCAAAACTGGCGGGCTGGATAAATGAAACGAGTGATGTACGCATTGACCATGTTGGTTTTGGTGTTGTACTTGGTGAAGACGGGTATGGATACTAAGATCTTTTTTGTACTCTATATTTTAACTATTAAATGTATTCTATATTGAAGAAAAAAATTGAAAAGTCGATCTGGTGAAGCGATTCGACTTCGAGATTTACTGGATGAAGGTTTACAACGTTCGTTAACAAAATTAAAAGAAAAAGAACGTGATAAAGTATGCCAATAAGTATTATATGAAACAAAAGCTATAATTTTTGCTCTATTTTTAGGTATTAAGTGCTGATGAACTTAGCAAAGCACAAAAATCTGTTGCGTATGGTTGTATTAAGTATGCCGATTTATCGAAAAGTCGTACAGCTGTTTATGAATTTTCATTTGATAAGGTATATATAAAACTAATTTCCTTCTTTTGAACAAAACATAGAAAATCTTGTATTATCTATTTAGATGTTAGATGATCGAGGAAACACAGCTGTGTATATGTTGTACGCGTATACACGAATAAGGTAGTCTACTTTCTTTTATTATTGTTGATATATTGATGTATGTTTACTTTCAGATCAATCGCACGTAATGCCGGTATCAAGGAGGAAACATTGAAACAAAAAGCAGCTGAAATTGATTTGGATTTCGAGACCGATCAACGTGAATTCAAATTAGCCAAATGTATTTTGAGATATTCCGATGTCTTTGTACGACTATTAGATGATTTGTTCATGCATGCATTATGCGAATATATGTATCAGTTAGCAACAGCATTCACCGACTTTTATGATAAATGCTATTGTATAGAAAAAGATAAAATTACTGGTAAGTGTTCGGTGAAAAGGATAATCTAAGTTCGAAAAAAGTGATAATATTTTTTTCTCTCTTTCTCGTAGGAGAAACAACAATTAATTATAGACGAATTTTACTATGTGAAGCAACTGCGAATGTTATGAAGCAATGTTTTGAAATACTTGGAATTCAACCATTACAACGAATGTGAACAGTCTAAGGCAAAAAGCGTTTTTCTCATTTTATCCAGTGTAACCGTTTTATTGCTTTGTTATTTTCTTCTGTTTTGTTATTGCATACACTGACGAAAATCTGAATTTTTTTGATTGATGGAATGTATCGTTTTATTAAAACAAGATGATATACTTTGATGGCACTTTCATACAAATGATATATGTGGAATGGATTAAATGAGTATTCTCATCTTCATACACAGTACATCGACTAAGGTTTCTATAAAGAAGTAATTTTTCGGATGGGATTATTTTTTATATACAAACCGTATATAACTTCAAGTAACAGAGCAACACTCTTTACCAAAAATTGTTTGAAAAAAAAACATGAACTTCACTGTACCAAAGGTAGCCTTACATCATTCTATCAATATTACGCATAGTTTTATTCTATTTTCACAAAAAAATTAACAATGGCAGAAAATGTAAAATTTATAGTGACATGCGCAAACATAAAAACGAAAAATCTAACAATTCTCCTTGTATAAACATTTCTAAATTCATCAAAACAATCTGTTTAACTTTTTAAACTATGAACTCACCGTACTTTCTTACAAAACAGGACATGTCAGCATATAAACGTTTTTACATGAAACTTTGAAAACACACAGTTGTGTAAAAAGAATTTGTAATTTTTTTTTTTGTTACTTCAAAAGGAAAAAGAAGGACATTGCACAATTAACAGTAAAACGTCCTCAGATCATTATTAAATACGAATGGAAACGAAATACTGATCTGAACATATTTATAAGCATATTTTAGAATCAACTATGATTTTGATTTGCTAATTGTTGTTCTTGACTGTTCCGCAAGATTTGTACTACTTGCACTTGAAAGAAGTTCATCTGCTCGATTATATTTTAATATTTGTTGTAATTTTTCGAGTAATGGATCAAGAAATTTTTCATAACCATCATTTGTAAAGTGTAAATAATCGTTCATGTCTAAGTGTGAAATTAGTCCGTCTTCTTGTACGAAGTTACTACACGTGTGTAGAAAGACATGCTTTGGATAGGTTTGTTTCATTTGTTGTTCAACTATTGAATTAATTTGTGTAATTTTTTCACGAACTGGATTCGGTTTTTGTCCTCGGGGTGGAATAGCCTAAAATAAAACAAATTTTTATTTAATAATCATTTTATTAAATCCACGTCCACTGCAACTAAAACAACTTCAAAAACATTCTCACAATACAGTAGGGAGGAAGAACATATGATTAAATACACTTTAGGTGTTTTTTTTGCAATCATTTTGCATTTCAGTGTACACACTGAAAGTGGAATTTTTTTTCGTCGGTCTACATCTGCTTTAATTCAATGAGAGAGATAAGAATGGAAGCAAAGCACAAAAGAACACTACACAGCTGATGTAATCGAACATTGGAGCTTTGCATTCAAATGCAACGAATTTACTTTTGAACTAAATTATCTAAAAGCAAAATCTGAGATGCTTTCATCTTTGTCATATTATACAGTTTGTTACACTAATAAAAAATAGTTGATATTTCTTACCAATACAACGATCACTGTTTTAGGTTGTTTTTGTTCGATAACACGTACAATTTCTAATATACCGTGAGCTACTTCATCAGCGGAATTTTGATAGTTTTGAGTACCAACGAGTAAGACTACACATTGTGGATGACAAATATCCATCTCTCCATTGATGGTACGCCACAAAACATTCTGCGTTTGATCTTCTCCAATTCCAAAATTTAAACAATGCAACGGTTCAAAAAAGTCTTTCCAAAACTAGAAAAGAATAATAATTAAATTCTTTTTATATCATAATTATGAATGTTTATTTACTGCCAAATGTTGTAAACGTTCGATATGACTATCGCCAATTAAGATTACTTGTGGATCTTGATTTTTGCAAAGATTGACGAATCGCTCATGCTACAAAAACCAAACTAGTCAAAACATTTGTGTATAAAGTGGCGAAAAAAAACGCATAGAACTCACAATAGCCATCCATCTTCCATCGCCAGCGTCGTTCGGAATTGCGGGAATAGCGGCTGTACTACTATTTATATCACCACTAGTATCCATCATTTAACAGTCTGAAGTACAAATAAAACAAAGGAAGGATCGTGAGTGCGGGTAAAAAAATGGAGTTCAAAACTGATTCTAGTACATAGTGATTTTGAAAAAAAAATCTCCTGTTTTGGAATGGTGATCATTGTATCAAAACATACTACATGTTTTCGAGAAGTGTTTATTTTAAATAGTTGTCCTACTTTCGCATTATTGAGTGTCACTCATAAATCCTAGAATGAACTTAAAAAATCCATCTGCTTGAACAAAAATTGAGAGGAAGGTTAATTAATTGAAAAAACAAAACTTTTATTCATAAATTAAACTTCAAATTGTTTTTCCTATTGCGTCATACATTGAATGTTTTCTTTGTTCGATAAATATGAATTGGACACAAGAACTTAGATTAAAAAAGATGGAGAAAAAACACAGCCAATAATATACAGATAAAAATGATTTGAGCATTGAAAAAAATCACTTTTAAGATCTTCAGCAGTGATTGATACGTATATTTATCCTCTTGAATCTTGTTGATGAACCACTGATGGTTGTATGATATCATCCGATGAATTACTCGAATATGGAACAATATCATCTTTGTCCAATTCATCTGAGTCGTTTTTTTTTATTGATAATGCAATCTGTACAGGAGTTTGAGGTCGAGCATCTTTACTCGATATTCCACATTCCTGAAGTCGTTTGACATCTTCCATCGATTGATTATTGTATGCTAACTGAACGTCTTGTGGATCTATTTTTATTATACTAGCGATGATTTTCTTCAGTTCGAGAACCGTCGTCGTTTCAATTACATCAGTAAATATAGTTAGTTTTGCTCGTCGTATCATTAAATATACATCTTGAGATGACTGAGGTGGTTGCTGCATAGTTATTATTTAGTCTGAAAGAAAGAAAAAACCAAGCTTTTGAAGAAAAAATATTCCCTAACAATCAATAGTCAAAGCCGCTAATAAAAGGTAGTCTAAATCACCGAAAAAGGAAAACTTGTGACTATTAAATAGTATTTTCTTGTGCTTCGTTTCTAAACCTAGAAATTATATTGGAAAAGAATCAAAAATGTAATCAATACATTCACAGGAAGTCACAATACAAGATACTATAATTTCTAGAACCAATCGCGCAAATAACTCTAGAACTTCATCTATTACTGTTTAACTTCTCACATACTCTCAAATCAGCTAGCTGCTATTGCAAATTCGTTTGGCTTTTACTTTATCTCTAAAGAAACATCAAGAAGTCAGCAATCACATTTGCACAATATCACGTTAACTAGCAGAAGAACGTAAAATGAATTATTACGGTAGAATGAGAAAAAAATAGTTTGAAAAAGTTTATTTATCTACCATAAACAAAAACCTGCAATATATAAGTTGTATATACAGTTTTTAAGTTTCTAACCGATTTTTGTTGATATTTTCTTTGATTTTTATCTAACGGGTGTTCCAGAACAAATCGGTCACGTAGTATTTTCTCTTTGTCTCACGTTTCTTACATTCCCTGGAACTAGGTTTTTTTTAAAAGATTCATCATACAATTTTCTACAAAGCCATATGTAAAACGTTATAAGTTTGTTCCAGATAGATTTTTTATAACATGAGAGGTGAAGTAAGTTTCACCAGGAATTAATGCCGGTTTGGATGTTACTTTACTCCAGTACCTTGCTTGAACAAATTCGTTCCAAATACAATAGTCCAAAGAGTGTAAATCTAGACTATTAGCAGGTCATCAATCTGTGGGAATAAATGAATAAAAATTTTCACCACACCATTGTTGTGTTAAACGATGTTTATGTGGCGTCGCGCCATCCTATTAAAATGTCCAATAATCGCCCAGTGCATCTTATTATCACATTTCAACACAACTGGAAGCACTTCGTTAATATATCTTTCATGATTAAAACTGGCTTTATCCAGAATCACCAACATTGTTAAATCTTCTGAGCACAGTCCTAACCAAACCATGACTTTTGTGAATATTTATCTGTTCTTTTCATCCCATCTCTTTTATCAGTTTCAGGTCGATTTACTGCCCATATTCTGTCATTTTGAAAATTGTAGACAGCACCAATATCAAATATTTTTTTATCCGAAAATAATCAATTTTTTTAAATCATCTGTTTGGAAAAATTTTTTGTTTAGTTTGTGTACGTCTTGATGACTTAGTAGGCTCAACATCCAAGATCATTTCTCAATATTTGATGACCATTCACTCGTGATGTGTTCAAGTTTCTGGCCAATTTCGGACAGATCCGAATTAAACGTTGTTAAACGTATTGTTACCTTTGCTTGTACAAAACGTTGTCGACTGGGTGGTTTTGATTCTCCATATGTGTCGAATCATTTTTATCCATCATTAAACGGTATCGAATGACGAGGCATCATTTAAATCACGAAATATCTTTGCGTGGGCGATCACCATTTTTGTACTTGGAATGTACATGGAGGTCTTCACTTCTCATGTTATAAAAAATCTATCTGGAACAAACTTATAACGTTTTACATATGGCTTTGTAGAAAATTGTATGATGAATCTTTTAAAAAAAACCTAGTTCCAGGGAGTGTAAGAAACGTGAGATAAAGTGAAAATACTACGTGACCAATTTGTTCTGGAACAGCCGTTAGTGATTGATACAACGCATCTTGGCCTTTTTTTTCCAATTTTGTCCCATTGAGCAGTAGGATTGTGTTACTTCTCTGTCATACTAATTGATTAGATCTTGCGTTTCTTATTCATCTTTCTGCAGACTTTCCGAACTATAAAAATTCATATATTACTGACTCACTTCGTGAATATTAAAAGTCTCAAGTACCACTTCTTTTCAATATCTCTTTATTCTCTCGTACTTTTTTGAGATGAAGTCCATAATCTTTAATTTGCAGTGCATCCTGACACCAACATACACAATTACCGCACAGAACTTTCTTCAAGAACACTTCTAGATTTCTTAGCATTAAAGTCATGATTTATTTGGACGTAAAATAGCAGTCTTAAAAAAAGAATACTTTTGTGAAAGTCCGACACAATCGAACTTCGACAGAAATAGTTCTTTTCCTATCTAAAATGGGATGAGGTGACTGATGTTTTCAAGTGGGAGCCCAGAAGCAGCCGTTACAAAGCCAACTTCAGTCAATGACTACTCACCGTCCGATTAAGAAATATCGTGAGGACTTGAAGTTCGAGACTTCACACAAAACTTTTAGAAACTCTGATCATTCACTGAAATCATTTTTAACGGTCATCAATTTGTGATTATCGTCTTACTGATTTACCTGTCAAATCGAAATCGCTTTAAACCTACATAATGCATTTTTTACTTCTAACACCACAGTCAACTGTTTTCAGCATAAACTTAAATTTCCTGTCGCCATTAAATGTTTTCTGGGTTCTGCGTCACTTTAAAAGATATTGTTATTGCTGTTTTCGGTTTATTTTTACATTTTTTTTACATTTCTTCAATTTCCAATAAATTTCCAATATTTACCATCACAGTCAATTCGCTACATTAATTTATAGAAAAAATATCAACCTATTTATGCAGTTTCGTTGCCATTAGGTGTTCGCATATATAATTTTATTATTCTTTGAGGGACAGGTAATATTAAAACCGGATCCGGCCTTTGGTTGGGCTCAAATTATGTTTCAGAAAAACTGTTGCTACCCAGTGTTAGTAACGGTTGACGTCAACGGCGACAGAGAGTTTTAAAATAGTAGAGTCCTTGGTGCATGAAAACAAAAATCAACAATTCAGGATCTTTCAATAATCATAACAGCTTCTTTATATCTTGAATTGTCTAAAAATTCTTTTCGTCTACTACCTGGAATTCTGTCGCGTGAGCATGGCTGAAATGACAGAACAAAATGATTTATAATTTTTGGCATAAATCAAATCCTGATGGTTAAACTCATACCTGCATTTAACATTGGTAAAATTATACTAAATTATATTTAACAATTAAAAATGTATCACTAAATTTTATTTTTCTGCCAATCTGTTACTGATTACTTCGATTAACGTATAAAAATCTATACTCTCAATTATTTGAAGTCAACAGTATTTCCACGTTACTTCGAATCTCGAAGAGAGTTTTCAGTAAAAACTGAATTTCAGAGTAAAAAATTTCCATACTTGAAGTTAATTTCTATCCAGAGCAAAGAATCTTGAAATATGATGTGGTAACGTTGCATTACAAGATATCATCAAATTTCACAATATCTTACGAAATCTTGTAATAAGAACTTGTGTGTGCTTTCAGGAAATTTAGAAGACCATACAAGAATTCATAAGACCAACTCGCTCAAACTTTGTGTATATGTTTTCCAATCTATAATACGCCCGTACAGATAGCACAAATAAACGTCAATGCTTCTCGACCACACACGAGAGTTTTTAAAAATTCCTTGGTTTTTCAGAAAAACCCACTCTTCTTAGTCTATGGGTATTTGCATTAAAAACTAAAGTCATATTTGTAGTCAGCGTTAAAAACTGTGTCGAATAATATAGTTCTCAAACATTTTTGAAGATATTTTTTCCTGGTCAAAAAATTTCACCATTATGCATTTTTTGATTAAACCAAAACGTTTTCAGGATAAACTTTTTCCTTGCGAGAATACTGTTTTCAGAAGTTTCAGAATTTCTGAAAAATGCTTACTGAAGAGGGTAGTCAACGTTAGCGAAAAGTAAGCATATTAGCTTAAATTTTCAGATGTATTTCTCATAAGATCTTATGAATTCTTTTATGTTTTTGTAAATTCCCTGAAAGCTTACACAAGTTCTTATCACAAGATTTCGTAAGATCTTATGATATCTTGTAATGCAATCAATTTTGGCGTTTTCCAATGGTACGTCTACCACTTTCCTATAGGAATTTTATAAGAAGTCTTAGAATCCGACCGGATCTTATAAGATTCCTATAGGACTCTTACGAAATTCCAATAGGAATTGCATAGCATCCTATCGTAGAATTATTCGACCTGAGTTATCCTCCCTATTTTCTAATATAGGTAGGATCCTGATCTCGTACGTCACATTCGGGAGTCATGCACTTTCTTTTGTGCCCAACTCATTGATAGTGAAGCTTGGGAACAAAAGAAATTCTAAGTCTTTTTACCTTATAAGTTGATAATGTACAGGGTGACTCAAAAGTTAGTTTCGAGATAGACACACATTATATACATTTTATTTTTATTTACATCAAAATTACATCACAATTATTTATCACAAATATACTATAACTAAGGCAAACAATTTGAAAACTTACGTAGATAAATAATTATGATGTAAAATATAAATAGTGTGTGTCTATCTCGGTAAATTAACTTTTGAACCACCCTATATATATACTATATATCGTAGCAAAATTTATAATATACGGATGAGCTATCACTTCTTGTATAACATACAACAAGATTTCATATGTTATTGTACGATATTTTAATAGCTTATAATAAGCTGTCACAATATTTTATAAAATCTCACATAATTTTATGAGAAGATTCTATAAGAAAACATCAGATCTTGTAAGACGTTTTTCACCTGAGGGATGAGAGTGATCATCTTCATCAAGTCGGCAAGCATGAAAAATACGTTCAGATAACAACTTTATCGTGAAATTGCTAAAGATTGTTAGAGATTTCCAGCACTGAACCAGATAAAACTAGTAAGACCTTTTCGAGATACGAAAACGCTAACTATTTTATATAAATATTGTTTTTGACTTGAAACTCAGTCGTTTGTAAGCGTTACGCGCCTTCGATTTTTTGTACAGAAGTAGCAGTTTTATATGATAACAATCACAGTATTTTAACACCAATTATTTATTTGTTTTTGTATGAACGAGTAACAAATATGATAGAGATTGGACCAAAATTTTTCTATTATATTTTTAAAACGTCTGGTAATATCAGTGTTTAAATAATTATGTCAAATAAAATACATAATCTGAAAAATTCGATAATATCAATAAACAGCAAGTTATATGATACTGGCAAAAAAGTTGTTCAGAAATGTGTTTTATCCACAGAATTACTTATAGAAGTCCATCCAATACGCTTTGTTAGGAATATGTTCGTACATATGGATATTTCTGAAAATGTTATGCGAATCGGTACATTCCATGTATCCTAAAACGTGGCATGAAAACATGTATCTTTGAACAAAATATACTGAAGTACTGTCCAAAGGTAACGCTGTGACATTTTTGACACAGTAATTTGCATTTTTCTCGAAAACTATAAGAGCTAGAAAGTTCGTTTTTGCGCCATTCGACGCGGCTCTTCTTACTCTACTTCGAGCATAAAAACGAAGATTTTTGGTTAAAGACTCGAGCTTCCAGACAACCTTTTTAGATCGACAACACGGTGACATAAAAAGACCGTAAATTCTAACTACTCATCATTAAAGTGTAAATTCCTGCGAATTTAGAAGAGCTAATGAAAAGTGTAATGAAAAGTGTCTTTAGTAAAGTTTATAGAGGAGGTAACGAGGTTTCTTTTGCTAAAAAAAACTTTTTTTCAGAATCCTTTACTTTGTTTGTAAAACCCAATTTACTAAAGTAACACTGTGACACACTTTTTTGTCGCACTATTTTTAGGCCCTAAACGTTGTTCAGGAAGCTTCATACTTATATGCTGTGTAGTTCTAGGCGTCCTGAAAAGACTCCAGTTGAAAATAAAGTTTGAAAATTTCTCAGGAGCTTTCAGACCGAGCCGCAAGTTGAAACGTTCAAACAGCCACTGTATCTCGACTGAAAAATAGATCTCAAAACAAAATGAGCCATTTTGTAGAGAATTGAATTCTCTATTCAACGGTATGTTTTTAAAATTTTTTGAACAAAATATCTGGGTCAGAAAATTGAAATTAAAGTTTTTAATAATTTTAAATTAAAACTTTTATATTGAAAATTAATTTTTTCTTCAAGAAAAAGGTCAGATTCGTAATCAGCGTGAAAAGCTACGTCTAGTGATGCGCCCCTATCGATTTTTGGAAAACAAAATTCAAAAAATACTTGATCAACGAAGTGTCGCGTTATGTGGACAAGTCGAGTAGTGGGAAGGGAACAAATTTTTCATTTCAGAACATCTTCAGGGACAAACTCTTTTTATAGATTTGAAAACAAATTTTTAGCACCTTAGTGGATGCATGAATGTGCCGCTGAAGACGGTGTATTTATATGTTCCACAGTATGTTATAACTTCGTGCTCGATTTATTACAAAAAAAATGCGTCGCATATAAGGCATAATCTTTTTATAGTGCTGTTTATATATCAAAAAGAAACCATAACTGGATCAGATAGGCTTCAGGTCGTTTTTTATAATCTAATGATATACAACCACAGACGGTCAGATCTACTGCTTGTTTAGTCGATGTCCCTGAAAATGCTTTATAAAATTAAAACTTTTTCGTATTAAATGGTCGATGCTAATACGGATTGTATTTTTTTAAATTAAAGACTTTGAGTGATCTGATAACGTAAATATTCATAATCAAATCAAATGGTGAAAACTATCCACGTTCAAATTTCGACTGACGAGGGAACCGCCTCAACTGTCTCACGAGTTACGACTCCGTATTAACGCTGGAAGTAGATCTCGGTGAGACTAAGAATAGTCTAAAAGAGTTTGGGCCTATGGCCTATTGGTCAAAAGTTATGGCCGCTTTACTGAATTTTCGAAAAAGTCGAATTGAAGAATTCTGACCTAAAATCTTACCTATATATAGACCTAATTGTTCTTAGAAGATCCTGAAATTTTCAACAGGAACGAATGTGTCTATCGCAAGATATTGAATTAACAAGTAAACCCGACCATTGGCTATTTTTTGGAAATTCAATATATTGAGAGGGATACATTTCTTTCTGTTGAAAATTTCAAGATTTTCTAAGAACAATTAAGTCTATATACAGGTAAGATTTTAGATCAGAATTCTTCAGTTCGACTTTTTCGAAAATACTGGACTATGGGTCGAAAATTCAATAAAACGGCCATAACTTTTGATAATAGACCATGAGCCCGAACGCTTTTAGGCTTTTCTTAGTTTCACCGAGATCTACTTCCAAATGTTAATACGGAGTTGTAACTCGTGAGACAGTTGTGACAGTTCCCCCGTGAGTGTGCGGTATCGAATACATATAGTCGATGATTCAATTATCTTGTTTAATTAACCAGTGTTAACTACAACGGTTTAGTTCCAATATTGATATTTCTTGGAGTGGCAATGTGTTTTTGTGCATTATCAGAGTCATCTAGTACGGGGTCTGCTAGTCTTAGATCTACACAATGAGAAAAGTCACTATAAATTGTACATCTGATAATAGACCTTAATGAGAGGAATTTTCTCATTTTCATCAAGTTATATTATAAAGTTGACTTATATTCTCTATTTATTCTTCACTATTTAACCATCAGTTCGTTGGGGATAGGTCAATTTAAGAGAGGATGTGTATTTACAAATAGTCAACCGTATTACACATATTTATCTTCTTGTTGGCTAAGTCTCAATATGTTGTATTTATCATGTTATAAAAAAACGATTTGTAAACAGTTCCCTATATTATATTTACTTTGTTATGTTTCTATATTGTGTATGTAGAACAAATGTGTATAGTATTTGACATGCTCATGTATCATTTTACTTCTTTCTCTTCGTGAAAATAAAAAGTTGTTGTTACTCATTAAAATAATCAAATCTAACTTTATTCAAGGCTCTAAAACGGAAAAATCAGTAAATGCTTTTTTTTCATATTTGATTCATACAACAATTTATATTTAGTTTAGTGTAGCTAGTTCTAAGTGAAGGTGAGTTTCATTTTCTTTTGTAGAAGAATTAATATTCAAGTACACAAAAGGTTGAAAGAGGTGCTCAAGTTCGAGAGCGGTCTCAAGTCTGATCCAGGTCAGATCCCCTGAAAATGTTTGTTTTTCTAGTCCATGGACTGAAAAGCTAGAGTTACCGGCCGTTATGGATGACGTGGGTATATTCGCATACATTTGAACAAAGAAATCTATATGCATGCACTTATTTATGGCTCTGCGTGAGCTTCAGAGCTGCAGTCACTTTTAACAACACAAAAAACAACACGTTTTCCACCGTTTTTTCACCAACCCAAATCAATTCTAAAAGCTTTTTCAAGTTCAGAGCAGTCCGTAGTCTAAAGATTTCAGTCCAGTCCAGTGGGAGCCCATGACTCAAAAATTTTCAGTTGAGTCGTTACGGATTTCTATTACCCATGTAACACGCGTATTTTCTTAGAAACTAGATGAAACAGGATGATAACTCTCTCTTTTTGTATAAAATACTCTTACTTTTTCAAAACGGCAGGAAATCTGTATTGAGGACACTGATTTAACAGAACAAAATAGTTTCAGCTAATGTTCAATATTTAAGCAAAAATATTTGAAACCATGTTAAGGTAATTAAAAATGAACATTTACTTATCCTTCAGCTAAGTTAGGTCCTGGCTTATCCTGAATCTTTTCTTTTGTCTGAGATTCTTACAAAATAACCAATACGGATGGAAAATGACAAATTCAATCCTTGTGTATAGATCGCAAGCGTCCCTCATTAAATCTATTCTCGATATTATTTAGAAATTTTGATAAACACGCTGTTTGCAACAATGAAAACTCGTCCAATTCCGAGTGTTTCAACATCTCCTATTAAACGTAGTCTATTACAGACCGCTCTTGCTGTTGCTGTTCTCAGTTCGATTGCCACCGGTGTTATATTACTTGTACAAGGTTCATTACAACTAGCAAAATTAAAATACTTCGTGGATGTTGGCCATTATCCACTTCACATTACGTCAGTTCTATTAATATTATTTGGTTTTTTAACTTCAGTAACGTTAATTACTCTTGTCGTAGCCCTGGTAAGATTGAGTAAACTCTTAGCAATTGTTAGTGTATGCTCATTAGCATTATGTTCCATTGGTCTAATATGTCTAAGCATTTACTCCTTTATATCAATTTCAAACGATACACTGCCAACATCCATTAATAATACGCTAATCAGGGAATTAAATCAGACAAGATACAATTTGAATCGAGATGCAATTGTTAATGTTGAAAATACGGATTTAATGGCAAAACTCGAGAAACAATATGAATGTTGTGGTGCGGCAGATTCTATTAAAGATTACAGAAGTAGACAACCAACAAATATTCAAGCGCCGAGTGGCGGTGCAGGAGAACGATCGACTGCAGCAACAGGAGGAAGAGGAAGAACATCATCAACAACACAACGAAATGTTCAATCCGTTGTTCTTCTGCCTATTAGTTGTTGTAATGAAAAATATCGTACATCAGATGGAATATGCGCCGATAACAATGATGGTGGTAGCGTGTCAGGAAATGTATCCTTATCAAAGTATAATTTAGTGGGATGTTTTGCAAAAATAACAAAATCAAAATATGAACGAATACAGCGACAAGGTTTTACGACCGTTATTGGTGCGTGTCTTGCAGTGGTAGCGTGTATCGGATTAGCAGCAGCTATTCGACTATTAGCTGAAGGTTATCAAATTGTTCCTGTGCGTACTACTTGAACGCATACTCTCATGTTCAGCAATCTGAAAAAACACTATATATATTGTCAAAAACAAGTTCAACTTTCTTTTGTCATTTATGGTTTATAATAATGACTTTGCAAAATAAAGTTTTTAGATTTTACAGAAAAAGTGATTTGTTTACAAAAATTGGTATATTAATATTAGCAAATTCATTTCATCATAGGAAGAATTGATAGTACTAGGCAATTAAAAAATGATCACTATTTTTTGAATAAAATTTGAGCGAAAGAAGATAGAATATCAAGATTCTGCCTCAGTGTTACTCATAATCCATGATCAGAGCGAGCAGTTGCTGGACAATCTCGTAAATTATGAGAAACATAGACTATCGAACATTCTAGACCCTGGCATTGTTATTTTTCTAAAAAACACACCAGAAAAGATGTGTTCGTGGAAATGAACGGTGATGTTTATAAGTAAAGTAGCTGATGATTCACAGAAAATTGATGTAAATTTCGATATTTAATCTCTTTTGTCTGCATTTGGATTACTGGAGTTCTACCTGCATCTGTGAGAAACTTTCGTAATAAATAATATGATTTATAGTTTTCTATCTATGGGTGGACGTCATACATGTAGTGTTGTTAATGAATTTTCAACTGATGAGTTATGTACTTTTTTTAACATATCGGAGGACCCTGTGGATTTGTATGGAAAGATATGAAACGGCAACGTTGTGATAGTACTTTTGGACTTGATATTTTTCATCAGTCCATGGGATGAGGCATTGACGATAAACTGCACGTTTCTACTTTCAATCAGATGCTATTTGAAGAATAGTAATAAACCATTTTCTGTCGAAATGGATGGTAGTTATCTGAAACGTCTTAGGTTTTCATAAACCCTTATAGCTTTATTTCCAAACTTGACGATCTTATTGTCCACAACTTCAAAAGTCAAAATGGCTTCAAATTTTAATTGTTAATATATATTCTCGTATATCTAGTGGAGCAGTGCACGAATACGGTTGTCTCGTTCAAAAATAAACAATTTTTAATCCAGTTTTAACTGAGCTTCCAAATAATTTCGATTGCTCAATAGACCATCTTAATTTTTCTTCCGTTACTGGTTGGTAATGAACAACTGGGCTCTGTTCCACTAATATTCTGAAGTAAAACAAGGAAGATATACTTGTCTGGGAGAGTGATTAAATAAATTAAATATACTTATAAAATGTGACTGGTGAAGATACTTCATTGAAAGGTTTTGCTTCGTTTCTTGTCCAACGTTCAATTCGTTGTTGCCCGGGTGTAAGTATTTCAATTTCGATTGGCATCGGTGAATTGGTGGTATAGGGAGAATTTATATGAAATATTTGTAATGATTCCTTCGATGAGACACTTGATCGATCGTGATCATTCGTAGAGCTTTTAGATTCTACAATGAAGTGTGATTGATTTCAAGTGAGTGACGTATGAAATAATTTTGGAATAGTTTTTCTCTATATCCTGTTTATTCAGCTTCTTTTTTTTGAGACACATACCACTTCTATTTTGGCACCAAATCAAAGCAATGAATATAAAAATAAATCCAAGACCGCCGATTCCAATAAAAAATAAAGGCCATGTTGCTTCAAGCCCTAAGAAAGCATACAAGAATGTTTTACACTAATTGAGATGTTTTGTTGATAAAAGCGTTTTTGAAATCAAATGTAAGTTTAGGAAGGAATCATAACAACAAGATATCCAGATTATGCGACAGACTAGCTAGACTGGTATTGCAACCTCGAGTTTTCTTCTAGAAAATTCCTAATTCTCACATATATTTGAACTGAAGATGTTGATCTCGAGAACGTCTGACCTATATCTTACCAAGTAGTAATGAATTATCGATATCATTTTTGGTCATTATTCGTTTTATTATTTGCTGTTTCTAACCACATCGATTCCAGTACCTTTAAAACAATATCTATTAATCTGAAAATAGTTTTTAGTAAGAACCCATATAGTCAAAATCGCTAATACATCAACGACTTTTTAGCGATTAATTAGCCGATTTATCGTGCGCTTAATCGTCAATAAAATCGACGACTTTTTAGCGATTTTACTGATTTATAGCAAGCAATTAATCGGCGAGTTTTTAGTTTAACAGTTACTGAGCTCCTCGGTTCAGAACTGACTCAAATCGAAACAATGAGTCAGCTCTGATGAAACTACAGAGAACACTTTTGGCAACTCCGTTTTAAGCTAAATTAAAAAGATAATCTGAAAAAAAGAACATTTCCTGTTGAAATCGTGTTTCTTATATACTTACTCTACTGTAGAGTAAAACGGTGAATAACAAAAAAAACCATTTAATGGCTTAAAATCAACAATTAATCCCCATTAATTGATCCTTATTAAAAAACAGAAAAATCACTAGAATCGCTAATTAATCCTAATTAATTTGCGAAGTTTTAAAAATGGCGATATATCAGTGATTTTTAACAATTGGCGATTTTTTCTGCAAGTCCATTAATCACCAGTTGTTAAAAACTGACGATATATCGCAATTTATGGACGATTATAGTCAAAACTGCGA